GAGATTGTCCCTCCTTCCCCGGCAGAGCATCTGGTGGATTAGAACTGTGCACCTCTGGGATTGCAGTGCAGCTTCTTGCCACTAGGCCACCAGAGCTCCAAGTCCCACTATTCATGCTCTGTGCTTCCTCCTTATTTATACTCTCATTCTCCAGGATTGTTGTGCAGACGGAAGAAGACAGAGTAAGTGGTATTAACCCCATTTCATAAGTGAAATTGCTGTTGATAATTGCAGTTAAGTCCAGTTTATGGTGACCCCCTGTGTACAGAGGTTTTCAAGGCTGTGACCTTCTGGAAGCAGGTCTTGCTTCTGAGGCATCTCTAGTTGGATTTGAATCACCAACATTTTGGTTAGAAGTCAAGTGCTTAAATGCTTGTGCCACACAACAGCTCCACAGATGACGCTTCGGAGATTAACAGATGATTTTGAGGCCAGGCTTATCTGTATTCATAGTCTGTTCGCTGTGGTAAGGAGTTGTACTACCGACCCAAAGGTGCCTGGTTTGAATCCACTAGACCCTTTCCTAGAGAAAGATGTGCCTTTTCCTCCCATGTAACTTACTACCTCAGAAAACCCACTGGAGGGTCAGCCATGAGTTGGATCCAACTCGCAGGTCCTCAACAACCACATCACTAATGTCCTGCTGTCTCTCTGAGCTCCCAGCACTACAGCTCTTAAATTATGGCACCTGTTTTAAGTGTTGGCTCAGAAAACATCCTTTTCCATAATAAGTGAGAGAAATAAAATCTGGCCAAGTTTTTCTAGTTCATGCTTAAACTGTAAGATGCTGTGTGACCCCAACTCTTGGTGTCGTTGAAAAAATTTATTAGAGGAAATTTTGCTTTGTTGTTGTGTACCGCCAAGTCAGTACCAAACTATAGCTGACCCTCCAGTGGGTTTCCAGAGGCAGTTAATTGCAAGGCAGAAGATTGCCTGTCTTTCTCCTGAGGAGCAGCTCATGGGATTCGAACTGCATGCTTTCAGAATTGCAGCACAGCTTCTTGTCACTAGGCGACCAGAGCACCCAATTTGCTTTAGGATGAATATTAAATGTGTTTGTAATTATGTTCTGGAAATTCAACCAATATTTCAGTGTTTTGGTAACTGTGATGTTGTCTCTTTCCTTTAAGTTACAACATTTTTGTTGGTTATTTGACACTGGTGGGTCAGTGGTCAGCAGTTCAAACCCAGGAACTTTGTGGGATGATAATGTCGCAGTTTGCTCTCTTAAAGATCACAGCTTTGGAAACTATATGGAACAATTTTACTCTGCTTTATAGTGAAGGTCACTGTGAGTTGGAACAACCTTTTTTCCCCCCTTTATATGTGTGTGTGAGAGAAAAAGAGAGAGGGAGGGAGGCACAGAGGGAGGGAGGAAGGAAGTCTTCACTCTCCTTAAACTGGAAGTTAGTAACCTGGGGACCTGCTGACTACCTTAAGGGAACCTCCCTTACATTTCGATCTTGCTGTTCCATTTATCCTGCTGCTTTCAGCTCCTGGTGTGTTTGGGTTTTGTTTTGTTTTGTATTTTTTGCCATGTATGATGATCATTCTGTGGATAGTGGGCAGTTTCACACTTGCATCAAAATATATTAATTCACTAACATGTACTGAGGACTCCTGGGCTGGCCTGGGGCTACCACATGTGGAAGAGGGAGGAGCACACTGGATAGCAGGAATAGAATACAAACAAGTGACTGGTAGGAATCTACTCCTGTTCTACTCAAGGCTGATGCAGCAGGGAAGGCTGGTGGTGTGTAGCCCATCTGTAACAGTTGTGGGCCATTGTCGAGTACAGGCACACGTGGTCCTGGGGTTACACATGCAATCCAGTTCGAAGAGTATCTTTTAAATAGAATTTCTTAAGTAAGTCTGAACAAATACATACAAGGCTAATTCAGCCATCCTTCAGTGCAAGAAAAGGCCCCAGGCCTTTTCAGTGATATAAATGTTGCAAGGGCAGCAATGGAATTTGATCAGAAAGAACTGATTTCTGGTAGTAGTAATCATTAGGCACTGTCTAATGAAATACCACTCACAGCGACCCTGTGAACGACAGACCTGAAGCCTGCCCTGCCCTGGCCATCCTCCTCCTCTCTGACACACTCGAGGCCATTGCTGTAGTCACTGTGTCAATCCGTTTTGTTGAGGGTCCTCCTTTTTGCTGATTCTCCACCTTTCCAAGCATGATGTCTCTTTCCAAGGATTAGCCTCCGTAGTCTTGCCCCAAATATGAGAGATGAAGCTTTATCATCTTAGACTCCAAGGAACACTGGCTGCACTTTTTCCAAGACATAACTGTTCTTTGTGTGGTCCATGGGATATTCAGTACTCTTCTCGAACACCACATCTCAAAGGCATATAAGGCAACAATTATTCTTCTCTTATCTTTATTCATTGATTTCTAGTAGAGGTTGGTTCAGATATTTCAAAGTGAGGGCAAATTTACACAGCATTGAATGGAAAGTACTAATTGTGTTTAAATGACAAGTTAGTAACCTGGAATGTGTTTTTAAGCTGGTATGAGAAGTGTTTGTGTATTTAGAACTGTTAAGTCTAGTGCTGAAACAGAATGCCAGCATTTCCCTGAAGTGTGGACCACCCGAAAGCCCCAGCTGATCTCGACAGTTAAGTTTTAAATATTCATTTCTGTCAGGTCAACTGTGGACATTTTGGCCAGACTGGGAGACGTGTACCTGAGTGAGAAGCATTGGGGCTGCTTGTCCTAGAGGGGAAGGATGATGGTGAGGAACACTGGTAAAGCGGAGCAAGAGCAGACCAGCAGAGGTGGATGCAGGCAGGGACCAGTCACCATCAAGTCGCCTCTCACTCGTGGTAACCCCTGCACTTCAGAGTACAGTTGTGCTCCTTAAGGTTATTCAGTGGCACTTTTTTTTTTGGTGTGGATTATTGCCAATGTCTGTTTCCTAGGCACCTTTAGGTGGACTGGGTCATATATATCATACAGACACACATACACACACACATACACACACACCCCCAACAACAAAACAACAAACAAAAGCCATTGCCATCAAGTTGATTCTGACTCACAGCAACCCTGGAAGGCAGAGGAGAGCTGCTGGAGGGTTGGTTCCTAAGGCCTGGTTCCATAGTCTTTATGGAAAAAGATTGCCTTGTCTTTTTTTCCATTGAGCAAATAGTGGGTTCAAACCACCAACCGTGAAGTTAGCAGCTGAGCACTTAACGATTATGTCACCAGAGTCCCTTACCCAGTGCACAGCTTCACCAACTTGCTCTGCCAAACACTTTTGCACTGTGAATGATTGAGTTAGCTTGCCGGTTGGCATCATCTGAGCTGGGAGAGCTAGAGGCTGTCCCCGGGGCTGAGACTGACAAGGCAGAGAAGACAGGAGGCTGTGCTTTAGAGTCAGACCTGGGTTGGATTCGTGGTGCACCACTTACTTTTTGTGTGAAGGTGAACAATTTACTGAGTCTCTGTTTTCTTAGCTGGGAAATGGGAATGATAAGTCATTAACAATGGGAAAAGCTACTATGTGAGGTCATGGAGAATCCATAGGGCCCCCTTGGGGTATATCATCTCTTACCAGAATTCCTTCATAGACTTGTAGAATCAACCACATAGCCCAGGGAGGCCTGCTGTTCTAGGAAATTAAGCAAAGTAAATTAGTAACTCTGGATTTACTTAGCTGGTGATTAAATAACAGTTTAGTTAATAGACTATTAATGGTCCCCAGGTGTTGGTAATTTTGAGTATTTGCTTTTGAGAGCAGTTGTATAATTTCTTCTAGTATTTTAATAAAGTGGGTGTTGGTGGGTTTTGTTTTTTTTTAAACAAAATATTGAAGTGTAACAAATTATGCACTGAGGAGCTATTTTTGCAAGGATTAAACTATATAGTGCATATTAAGCACTTAGTTTAGTGCCTGTGCCCACAGTAAGAACTCAATGCAGGTTACTTGCTGTTGTTATTATTGTTATATTACTTTGAGGCTCAACCAGCCACACACACTTAGGGCAAGAGCCTTTGTTAACACTTCTTCCTGTGCCACCACCACCACCTGGTGGCACCTAGCAGCACTGCACACGGTGGGAGGAAGAATTAATAAATTGCTTGGATTAATTACAGGCAGTCCCGGGGCTACTTTTACATCTTCAGTACTTACACATCTCCGTAAAGACTGTTACAATAAAAATTCAAGGTACATACAATGATTCCTAATAACAAATGGCTATTACTTTGCAATGCATAGGAAAACCATTATTATTATTATTATTATTATTAACTATATTAAAGAAGTTTCAGTGTACCTGAAAGTAGTTCTTCAGTTTTTTTACATATCGAAAGGTACACTATGTACTATATAGGGAGCTCTGTTGGAATTGTCTATAGTTATGCTGCTCACCCCAAGGTCGAGCCTCTGATGATTTGAATCTCCTCTGTGCTGCTCTGTGGGAGAAAGATGAGCAGTCTCCTCCTGTGCCGTTTACAGCCTCCAAAAACCCAGTGGAGTCTCAGCTGTAAGTCTGTTCTGACTTGACAACAATGAGAGAAATATACTACATCCCAGGACAAACAACCAAACAATGATAACTATGAACTGTTTCTGTTCAGACATCTCAGCAAAATAGACATGAAGATATAACAGACCTGGCTCAGAATCTGGAGACTGCCTGATTGTAATTTTACTTCCGCTTAGTACTGAGTTCTGGTTGCACTCTGTGGGGCTGCTAACTAAAAGGTCAGAAGTTTGATTGTACGAGCCAGTCCATGGGACAAAGATAAAAGATAGGCAAGTCTCACCCGAAAAGATTTACAGCCTCTTTTACCTGACCAGGGTTACCAGGCCTGTGAGTTAAGGACAGTGGGTTTGGTTTTGAGTTAGTGTCCAAGGGGCATTAATAGATAAGAAGGTAGTACTATATTTCAAACAAGGGAATCAAGTCAGGAATTAAGCACACAATTTGCTGTCACCTTTAATGATGGACTTGATAATTTTTTTTTTTCAAACTTCCTTTGACAGGATAGCTAACGGCCAGGAAAAATACAGTGGAAAATGCAAAACAACGAAATCATAAAACCTGCCAAATACTTCTCAGAATTGGAAAAGAGCATCTTGCTTGCTTTAGTGGAAAAGTACAAATATGTTCTTGAATGCAAAAAGAGTGATGCGCGAACTATTGCACTCAAGCAGCGTACCTGGCAAGCGCTCGCCCACGAATACAATTCCCAGCCCAGCGTTTCCCTGCGGGACTTCAAGCAGCTGAAGAAGTGCTGGGAAAACATCAAGGCTCGGACCAAAAAGATTATGGCCCATGAGAGGAGAGAGAAGGTGAAGCGGAGTGTCAGCCCCCTTCTGAGCTCGCACGTCCTGGGGAAGGAGAAGATAGCCAGCATGCTGCCCGAGCAGCTGTACTTCCTGCAGAGCCCGCCAGAGGAGGAGCCCGAGTACCACGCCGACGCGGCCGCCCAAGGTATGGGGCAGGCTGCACGTTCGCAGGCCACCCGGTCCTTTCCCAAAGTGCTGGGAGCATACACAACATACAAGTCATGTGTTCAACAACCTCGTTACTGTGGAGTTGGAACCTGCTCGTAGCCAACCCTCCGGCGAGTTTTCATGGCAAAGGAGGAGATTGCCCATCCTTCTCCTGTGGGGCTGCTGGTGAATTCGAACCACTAGACAGGTGTCATCTGTGGGTTAACAGAGCAACTCCCCCACTCCCACCCAGTAGGTAACTACCTCACCAGAGCTCTCTAAGTTATATATTGTTGTTGTTGTTTTGTACTGTCGAGTTGGAACTTAGAGCTGACCTCCAGCGGGTTTTTAGGGGTAGTTTAATCTCACCAGATGAGATTGCCCATCTTTTGCCCACTGAGCAGCTGGTGGATTTGAACCGTTTGCCTTTGCGGTGGCAGTGCAGCACCTTTCTGCCGCCACCACCACCACCACCACCACCGAGTTATATGTAGTGCACAGAAAAGAAAAAAGGGTTTAACGCGTTGCCGCACACTTTTAAATTGACGACCATGCTTAGAAACATGTGCAGGATGTACATAGCCGTCATCTGTGGCAATGTTTTAAATACCTCTGTCATCTCTCTCAGGGAACTCTGGTAGCCTAGTCAGTAAGGAATTGCTCAATGAAAGACAGAGGAAGGATCTTCCCCTGTGTAATAAAAGCCCCTCAAAAAGACTCTTTTGAGGGAGCTCCAGTGGCTTAGTGGCAAGAAGCTGCACTGCAATCCCAGAGGTGCACGGTTCAAATCCACCAGATGTTCTGCTGGAGAAGGAGGGACAATCTCCTCCTGTACTAGTCAGATCCAATTTGATGGTACACACACAAAAAGAAGACAATAAAACTAAATTTTAAAAAATACTTCTTTGGACTTTATTATTAATAAGGAAAAATAAGCCACCTAATATTAATATAGTTTTTACTGATGCCCTTAAGTTGCTTAAATCAACCCCTCTCAAATACATGAAAGAGAGTTTCAGTTTGGTGAGAATTCATATTGATTCGTTCAGCCTTAAGTTTTTCAGAAGAAATTTCTGAGGGCTTATGCACACAGTGCAGCATTAAGCCACTCCAAAGGCCCCATTTAAAAAATGGAAATCTTTCCATTGTAATGAAAGTCCATTTAGCATCCACCAAGATTAGAAGTCAGCATTTTGATCTATTATAATATTGTGATCCACAGTTTTGGTGTATGCCACTTCCAAAGAAACAATGCTGGAGGTAAAAATGAATTTTAATATGCTTTTACTGAAAAGAGAAAGATAACTTTACATGTAACTCCTAGTGAAGGAAGACTGTCAGACAGCTGGGGGCATACGGCTACTATCACAGCTTTAGAGCATTGCAGTGAAGGGACTTCTGAAATGAAATAGGTGGAACCAAATCCAGATAAATTGCCAGTAACTCCTACCTTTTCAGGACAAGAAGTAGCCTGTTTATATGAAGGTATTCTGCAGTTTGCAGAAGTTACACTTGGAAACAGGAAGGTTCCTGGGGAGACCAGAGTGCTGCTGAGAAAACCCTCATTAAAGTTCTAGGACCCAGCAAGCACTTGTCTGTGAAAACCTGATTCTTGTCTTGCAGGTTGAAAAGTTCACTTCCTAGTATCCCCAGAGTAGACTGAGCTCCCAGGCACAGACTCTTATTAATTGAAAGACGCTTTTTAATTGAACATGATAAGAAACTATAGAACTAAGAATAGCAATGTTCTCTATGTTGAGTGAAAAAAAGATCATTACCAAGTGAACTGAATCCATGAAGTTTTTTGTTTTGTGGTTTTTTAAAATTTTTATTTACTTTTTTATTGTAAGGTTTTTAGTAAGACTTTTTTTCTCCTGTAGGCAAATCCCACCTGTCTCCCCAACATTGCTGTTATATTGATTCTAATTCATAGCTGACCTTCTGTGAGTTTTCAAAGGCTGAAAATGGTACAGGTGTAAACTGCCTTTCTTTCTCCCTTGGGGCTGCTGGTAGATTTGAACCACCGGAGAAGCTCTGCCTTTGGTTTAGCAGTGATGGCTCCAGAGCTGTCTCAGCCGATCAGCCTGGGAGGCTGATGTAGGATCACAAGTCGGCTTGCTGATCATTGGCCTCATTCAGGTAGCCAGTTGGCTAACCATGATGTCTGGAATATAATTTGTGAGTTCCCAAGGCAGGGTACCTCGGAGCAGACAATGCGTATGTGAGCACTGCCAGCTCTCTGTGAACTTTCTCCTATTTGTGGCGTCTGTGGAGTGGATCCTATTGTTAACCAACAGTGTGCTGTGGAGATGTTTATGGTTTTATGTGGTTACTTTGCATTTTGCTGGCATCTGAGCTGTTCTGTGAGCCACTAAAGTGAGTGATAGTGGGAGGAGGAGGAGCGTGATGAATCAGAATTGTGAGTAGAATCTACTTTTTAAATTATTTATGTTCCCTGGAAGATGTTGCTGAGGAAAACAGTGGAATGAACTGTCTGTTCACTTTCCTGATCTCTGATCTGGATCATTGTGCATTGATTTCATAGGGTTGTTAGGAGACATTAATTTCCCTATTTCCTCTTTTCTAGGGAGGATGTAGAGAGAGCTTTGGTGGCTTAGTGGTAAGGAATTGCACTGCCAGTGCAAAGGTACACAGTTCAAATCCATCAACTGCTCCATAAGAGAAAGATGGGCATTCTCCTCCCATGTGATTTACTGCCTCTGAAATCTGCTGGAGGGTCGGCTGTGGGTCAGTTCTGCCTCGACGATACACAACAACAACAGGAAAGACCTATAAGATTTATTCCATTTGCCTTTTAAAAACCATTATTTTGAAAAAAAAAATGATGCCGTTAAATTACTCAGAAGCATAATTTCTAAATTTCCAGGAAGAGAGAATAAATATGAATCTCTGGTTTCTTTCCTGTAATGACATTTGCTAGAGTCTCAATTGTAAAATCAGATGGTTGTATGTATATAATACATGAGGCTTCCCTGTTTGCTAGTGATTGTTAACCAGCCAAATGCTCCCAGTTCCTATGTCCAGTTCACAGATGGACAGTGATGGAGAACCACAGTGCTCTGTCAGTTAAGACATGTGGTCAAAGTAATCTGCTAATTCTAGTAGTAGTTAAGAAACAAACACTTTCTGAGCGTTAAAACAGATAAGTGATTGATTGCACTCATTTTGCTTTCAGGAAGGAAAGATAAGACTGAAATTGTCAGTCAGCATTTCTTGGTCTTGGTGGGCAAAAGGCTGAAAACTTGCTATAGGATTTATGACCCTGATATGGTTTTGACACTTGGACTCTGTTTTACTTTGTCTTTAACACTGTGCTGTCCAATATGGTCGCCACCCACAAGCCATATGTGGTTTGTTAGTTTGTGAAATGTGGCTAGACTGAATTGAGACAGGCTGTAAGTGTACACTGAGTGGCCATGCTAACCCAAAAGTGGTGCCTCTGTACTTCTGTCAATGAGGGAGAAAGATGAGCAATCACCTCCTGTGTGATTTACAGACTCCCAAAAACCTGCTAGGGTCGGGGGGTTGGCTGTGAGTCAGTTCAGACTGAGAGCATTTGGGGGTTTTTCAGTTATAAGTGTACATACCACCTTGCAAAAAAAAATGATGTATAATACATGATTAATAATTTCATATTGATTAGATGTTGGATTGATAATATTTTATATTTATAGGTGAAAAGAAATATATTCTTAAAATTAATATCACCTGTTTTGTTTCTTTAATTATTGTGACTACTAGAAAACTTAAAACTACCAGTGTAGCTTGCTTGCATAATATTTCTTTCTTATGGACAGTTATTACAGAACGCCTTTTATAAAAGCTCAAGGGAGTTCTGGTGGCAAGAAGCTGCACTGCAGTCCCGAAGGCGAATCCCCCAGATGCTCTGTTGAAGAAGGAGGGGCAATCTCCTCCTGTGCCAGTCAGATCTGACTCAAGGGTACACAACGAGGGGGAAAAAATAGTTGCTCAGAGATTCCTTGGAATTTGTTATCTGCCAACTCCTCCAGCAGCACTGGATGATCCATCCCCTACTCCCCCACACAGTGCTGCTCCCCACTCCCAGCTTTTTTCCCTGGAAACCCCAGAGAGGACTGGGGCTTGACTCACCTCAAGGAATGTGGCCCGGGCTCTGGCTTCAACTTGGGCTCCTGACTTCAGTGTTTACCCCAAGGATGTTCTCAAAGACTACTGCTCCCTCTCAGACTCCTTCCTGTGAGGTACCATCTTTCACGCTCCAGGTCCTGCCTCTACCTGGTAATGGTCTAGTTCCCACCCGTTGGAAAGTTCTGCAGATAAACATGGGCCAAGCACAGCAAAACTCCTAAAGCTCAACCAGTGTCTCTTTAACCGTACAGGCTATAAGGTCTTAATAAAGATATAGATATAGAGTGGTGCCAACAATAAAAATCCTGCTGGGATGAAGCCTATTCATATTCCACTAGAGGCCCCCCTCTATCTATTTGTCTGTGTGTGTGTGTGTGTGTAAGAGAGAGAAAAATGGTTTTTACTATGTCATCTTGCTCATTGTTTCTAGGGTATTCTCAGCTTTTTTTTTTTTTTAATATTCTGGGGTATTTTTTTTTCTTAAAATTTAAATTTTTATTACTGTACTCTTAATATTTAAAGTATAACCTGAGGAATTCATTTGCAAAAAACCCTAATATTTCTACTTTGAATATAGTAAAAACCCCTACAAGGTTTTGATTTGTGGTAATTTGACTTGAACATTTACTTCCTGGTATTCTGGGAGAACAGATTTGCAGAACAATTTTAAGAGGACCAATAAAATTTCCTGGGCGTGGTCAGGAGGTAAGGATAACTGATGGTCAAATACATTTGAGAAAGTGAAATTTTCAAGTAGGATACTTAATTGTTTCAGGATCATTTTTTAGGAGAATTCATTTCACATGCCATTATTTCTGTGCTATAAAGCTATAGGTGCCCAGAGAACTTAGTGTGTGATATATCAGGCGGCTAACAAAAGGTCAATAGTTAGAATAATGTTTTTAAGATCTATTCCTATTCCAGTATTAGGAACCATTGGGTTGGAACTAGTAAGACTAGTCCTGTCCTTTCAATTAATATATGATGAGTCGCAAACAACTCGACGGCACATAACAACAACAATTGTTCACAAAAGTATGTCCCCGCTGCATCTTATTTGTCCATTTCCCATATCAGTCCTCTGTTGTTTGTGCTATGGAATAAAGCTGACGTTTGACCTGTAAACAGCCTCTCCTCCTATCTTAAATAACCTTACATTGCCAAAGTAGGCTTTTCTTACTGGTGTTAAAGACACTGGAATCCCCTAAGTGAATGAACAGTTCTTGACTGTATTTTCTGGTCCTCGGAGAGCCTTTCTCCCATTTTTGTAAAAGATTGAGTTGTTTTCTAGTTCTGGTGTCTTTGTTTTACCTGGGAGAGAGATTACACAGCAGTTGTTTCCCATTCCCAGGACAGTCTTTTTCTAATTAAGATTCTCCCTGTCTGAATACTGGCTCCTACTCACTGGAGCCAATATTTGCATGTGAGTTAATTATCTCCTCCATCAGTCTCCTCTAATTTGATGCCCCATCTTCTCGCAGAGTCTACCCAAGAGGCCCGATTTTGTTTCCTCTTTTAAAATTTATGTGTTAACATACATTTAAACTATCAACCATAGTGTTGAAGTAGAATCCTCTTTCTACTCCCAGACATGAACATGCTGTCTTAACATTCACAGCGCTTGAGAGACATTTGAAGGCAAAATTTGGAATAGACACTAAATTTTGAAGACATTGACCTGATAATAATAATCCATGGCTTTGTAGTGGATGCAAATGCAAGTTGGAAGATGTGTTTTAAGATACATCAATGATCAACTGAGCGAGTAGTGGAAGACTAGGCACTGTAATGCCTGAGCTTGGGTTTGGGGACCAGACAGACTGGGATTTGAATCCTGGTGTAGATAAAGCATTTGACTGCTAACTGAAACCCAAGTCTCAAACCCATCAGCTGCTCCAGAAGATAAAGATGAAGCTGTCTTCTCCCTGGAAAAACCTAACAGAAGTTCTTGTCTATGCTGTGGGATTTCTATGAGTCAGAATCTCAATAGACTTCAACAGCAGTTGGTTCTTTCAGTTAATTGACTGTAGATAGCAATACCTGAGTTTCTCTAAGAGTAGCTTCCTCATAAGTGGTTGTAAGGCTTAAATGAAATAATGCCGTAAAGCACTAGTTTACTTCTTGGCTAGCTACTTTAAAAATGGTAACTGCTGTCATCATTATCCTATCACCTTTCACATCATTGTGGAGATGAAAGTGAGCGGTGTTTGAATTTGAGCAACATTATGAGTGCTTTTTTAAGATTCAGAAAAACAGTTCCCTAGAATAAAAGAAATAAGCAGAGTGTTCTAATGTGTCCAGTCTTCAGAGAAAATATTTTTAGCTCTAAGACTAAAAGAGAAGTGGGTGAGTCGATCTCCAGTGCATTTGGATGTTGTCATCCGACAGACCCCTCCTTGGTGTTTCCCGTGTCACCTCCCCTGCCCTGGGCCTGAGTTACCCACCTGGAACACTGATCTTTCTACACAGTTGTGCTGTGTTGAGAGGAATGTGCCTCACTACAGGCAGCCTATCCCTTACATTTCCTGCAGGTCCAGCCCTGTACCAACCCAGGAGCTGGGGAGTCCAAGTCAGAATGAAAGAGAGGCAGGTTTTTTTCTTTCAGAGTGCTCAGAGACTTGATGGGGATGTAGACCAATCACCAGGACAGGGCATTGACGGGCTCTGGCCAGTGGGCCCAGCAGGCCAGTGGGAGCAGGAAGGAAGGGCCGCCATCTAATTGAAACCAGAAGATGTTGGGCTTGAGTAAGGTTCCTAGGAAGGTATTTTCATTATCTTTAGATGGCACAAAAATGTACTCTTTTTATAAAAAACTTTAAACATTACAAAAGTAAGGTTTTTACCTTTATTTTTTAATTAGAGACTAGTTGGAGTTGTTACCCACTCCCTTGACATGAAAAAAACCCCCAACAGTAATAATTTTCTTTTCATTGAAAACATTTTATGAGCTAGGCTTCCCTCAGAAGCCATTAACATTTCCAGTATCCTTTTTGTTAGAATAATAGAGTGGATATCAATATAGTCAACTCTGTTAGTAAAATGATATTTTTCTCAAAGGAGAAGAGATTCAGAAAGCCTTCAAATCACAACTAGAAGATGCTGAGTTAGTGGAGTTGGTGGTTTCTTCATTGAAATTCCTAATTGATACTAATGCCATGGATCTATAAAAAAAAAATCAGTACAGATAGGACACCTACCAAAAGTGACCTTTTTTTTGCATCTGTATGCTCCTTTCTCTTGCATGCATGCGATGGTTCAGACAATAGGTCTTTAGTGGTTATTTTCTATATATGATTTGTACAGGCAAAGTAATTGTTACCTAAGAACGAAAAATGAGTAATACGTGGTCCCCAACTATGACTAGTCTGGAATAGGTGCTGTGACAGAAGGGCACACATAGAGAGCTGGGGTTTCCCAGAGAAGGTGGCATTGGTCCTGAACAGAGTTGGGGTTGAGGGAGAGGGTTGAAAAGGAAGACTGGAGTGAGGCTGTGTTTGAATGGGTCAGGCTAGTATAGGCTAGAGGAATAAGAAGTCACAAAAGTAGAGAAAAAGCACCGACTATCAAAGAATGTGAGTAGTGTGAGGTAGGTATAGGGAGGCAGAGGGCACTTTTGAAGGATAAGACAAGAATGATAAAGGGAGGTTGGAACCTGACTATGAGAGTTACTTAGGATAATGTGAGAACAGAACCAAAGATGGAAACCACAGGAGAATATGAAAAGGTAAGGACTGGAGAGAGATTGAGTCCTTACCTGAGAAAGAGTAGACAGACAGGAGGCTGTAGAAAAACTTGAAGAGTGTGGTGGTTCAGGAGCTTAAAAAAGGTCAAGGATGATCAAGTATCAGAGGGAGGTTTCAGTAAGAGGAACATTGGGTAATGTCCTTGGGAGGTGAAAACTGACCCCAGCTGCAGTTTTGGAGGTAAGATCCAGATGGTAAGAGATTGATGGTGTGCTGACAAATTCAGTCCCTTTCCAAAGGAGGACCTGTTTAAGGTGGCTATTCCACCTGAGGGAACTGACCTGTGGCCAGGAAACAGCAATGAATGGCACTCTTGTGGAATCTGAGGATGAATTGTGTTCATAGCTGAATAAAAAGCCGAAAAAGGACAATCAGACTGATGGGAAACTAAATCTGAAAGCCCACACTGTTGGCTTTGCATTGAGACCCTTCAGAGTCGTGTATATCTTTTAGTGTAGAGTTTAACGTCTCTGATTCTTGGTAATCACAGCCTCTGACCATTGCTTTCCAAGTTCTAGAAATGGCCCTGTAAGCCCTTAATCATTATTTCTTCATGGAAAATTGCCTTTGATTTGTGGGTTTTAAAAAAGGTATGCCAAAGGCACCTGCTTTTAAAATACATCTTACATACGGAAGACCCTCTCATTTGAAATAGGATTGATTTGCTCTCTCTGCTTGTAAAATCTTTGAACATATGTTTTCTGCTACTGTTTTTCAGAATCATTTGCTGTTTCAAATAATAGAGAACTGTGCGATGATGAGAAAGAGTTCGTACACTTTCCAGTATGTGAAGGGACCTCGCAACCTGAACCCTCATGCTCAGCTGTCAGAATAACAGCCAATAAAAACTACAGGAGCAAAACTCCTCAGGAAGGCGCTTTAAAAAAGATGCACGAGGAAGAACACCATCAGCAAATGTCCATCTTACAACTGCAACTGATCCAAATGAATGAGGTTCACGTGGCCAAAATCCAGCAGATAGAGCGGGAGTGTGAGATGGCCGAGGAGGAGCACAGGATAAAGATGGAAGTGCTCAATAAGAAGAAGATGTACTGGGAGAGAAAACTGCAGACGTTTACCAAGGAGTGGCCGGTTGCCTCGTTTAACCGGCCTTTTCCTAATTCACCATAAGACTCCGTGGTGGCTCACTTGTAATTAATGTGTGTTAGCAGAGAAAGTCTGGGACATGAACATGTGCTCAGGAACCTGTAACTGAGCTACGACTAGGAATATGATAGCGTGGTAGGCGTCACTTATTTACAAATACATTCAGGTATGTAGACAGCTGCACCCTCTGTCCCCTTTATAAGTGGCAAAGAAGCTGTTTTTAGTCTTTTGAAACCATCACTACGAGTGCTATAATTCTGAATGTAATGTCTCCCTTTAATTAGCATTTATACCACAACTATGGGTGAGTGCCGTTACGGTTTTATTTTTGTTTCTTTTTCAATCAAATGTCAGTGTGTCTGTAAAGGAGTGTGGATGATTGTCTTTTTCAAGTAGCAGAACTTTTCTATCCAAGTGAATCTCATGCCGTTGACAGCAGCCACCTCCAGAGGCCACATGGTGGTAATACAGTTACACAGAACTTGCTAGAAGGCTTTGGGGAACCTCCGTGAGAGCTGGTCTTTTTTGTTTTCTTTCCAGGGTATTTCCCTCCCCCCTTTTTTAAACAACCCCACATTTGGAAGGGTATTTTCTAATGGGGCCTCTATGCTGCCTTTTCAGGTCTTTTCCCTCAAAGATGAGTTCCAGTATATCTCCAACAATAGTAGCTTTTTTTGGAGTTAATGATGGTCCTGAGGGACAAAATGTTCATTTAGATTTCTACCTTCTATTATGTTTGTTTTATTAAAAAAGGACAACAATGGACAATTTTATAGTCACACTGTGTGTGTTTCTTAAAGGTGCTGTCTTCCCACCTGTACTCGTGTTTTCCTTTCCTGAGTTTTCCATCTGACTTTGTACTACTGAGTTAATAGTGGGCCTGGTTTTTCTCAGCCACCTATGAAAAACTCCTCCCTCACCATGCCCATGGTCCTAGCTCATAGCAATATTACACGTTTGTATTGCATGCTTAGCAATGGCCTGTTGAAACATCCATTGCCAACTGCATATTTGAAAATACGAATTGATAAATGGATGCTTGGATTGAGCTGCAGTGTTGCTTCTTCTGTAGCTTAATGTTAAAAACCTCCCCAAGGGTTGAGGATAGTAGTAACTAAAATGAGCAAACTGACAACTTCATTGCCAAGACAGCAACTTTTAAGAGAATGAAATTGGTAGAGACCGTGCGATGGGGAAGGCAGAGTATGTAAGGGGTAGAGCCTATGTTAGGAAGTCCAGGACTAGACTACAAGTCAGGGCCTGAATTTCTAAGCTTGGTTCTGTCATCCATTGCCACGTGACTGGGTAACAACCATCATTCCTTGGAGTTCCATGTCAATGAAACAAGAGAGTGGGACTAGGTGCTGTCCAGTGTCTGCTACTTCTTGACTGTGGTGTATCCCGACTGGGTTGCTAATTGCCCACAGCACAGTCATCTAAAAGAGCTGGGGTTGGTAGGAAGCTCCTGTTTACTACATTGGCTAATTTATCTCCTTCATAATTTTTGCATTTTGAGTACTAGAGATTGTAAATTCAGAAGATTCCAATATACTTGCTATTTATGGACCACAGAAAACAAATGGAAATCAGTTACTTTATATATGGAATCATATTTTAAATAACGTTAGAGAAACTGGCTGTGGAAAGGAATGCTGTGAAGACCAGTCATCTTTGAAAAGAAGGACCTTCTTGTAAGGACTTGGGTTCTTAATGTTGCTTTACCAAATGGAACCATTAGAGAATAAAGTATCTGTTATAAGAGTCCAAATACTAAATGGTTTGTGGAATGCACACCTAGACTCCCCCTGGCCTCCCATCTCTTCAGGATTCAGACATTGTACAGCAGGCTGTAGCCCCAGGTAACAGCCAAGGAAAGTTTGCCTTTTCATCACCTATTGATATACTTGGCGATCTCATGAAAACGCAGATTTGGATCTAGTATTTTGAGAAGGGCCTGTGTCTTTGCAGTTTTTAATGTTTCCAGGTGATGCCAGGTCTGCTTGTCTGGTTGACCACATTTGTAAATATCAAGAATTTTTTAAGAGGACACTGTGAAGTTTTCACTCGCTGTTCTAAGGAAAAAAATTGGATTCTGTACATCATTGGGTGTTCAGGGATACCTCAGCGCCATTGCAGGTTCAGTTCTAGAACATCATGATAAAGTGAGTATTGCAATAAAGCTAGTCAGACATTTTTTTGTAGTTTCACCCCCACCCCAAGTATAGAAAAATGTTATGTTCACACTACACTGTACCCTATTAGGAAAGAGTCCTGGCGGTACAGTGTATTATGTGTTGGATGGCCAACTGAAGGGTCAGCAGTTTGAATATACCGGATGACCTGAAGGAGGAAGATGGGGCAGTTTGCTTCTGTTCAGATGTACGACCTCAGGAACCCAAGGGAGGTACACCAAGAGCCAGAACCCCCTTGACCACAGTGGCTTTCATTGTCTGTTAAAAGTACGAGATCATTATGAGACTGTTTAAAATAGTGTTAGAATTACCAAGATGCAACACAGATGCTGAATGAGCACGTGCCTTTGGAAAATGGAATAAACTTGCGCAGTGCAAAGTTAACCACAAGCCTTCAGTTTGCAAAACATGCAGTTTGAAGTAAAGCACAATAAAATGAGGTCTGCCAGTATTAGGATGCTACCAATTATTCTTTCTTTTTTCTCACAACATACTACTTAAGTGTATGAACAACAGCATCGAACAACACAGAACAGGCCCATACGCAGTAGTGTTTTAATTAAAGTATGAAAGCACTGAACTAATTGCTAATCGAATATATAAGGGATAATTAAACCAGCAGCCTAAGGCACCCCACTCCAATGTTAATGGGATTTAGGAGTTTATAACTGTAATTTTCAACCTAGACTATGCATTGGAAACTGTATGTTAGAAAGAATTTGAATCAGGCCTACCCCCAGAGGGTTCTGATTCCACTTGGCCGAGGTTGGGCCCACACCTCTGTATTTTTCAGATAATGTGTAGGTGACTATGATGCATAATTGGGGTTGAGGACCATGGTGTAAAGGTTCATAATCACGTTTCACTGCATCTCTAGCAAAATCCAGTGAGAGTCAGCAGAAGTGAGGAAATTCTGAGAGAAGAACTAGTAACTAATGAGTAGCAAAGCAGAACCTCAAACCTAGGTCCTGATTCCAAAACAGCCATGCCT